GGAGAAGGGAAAATGGGAGGAAAGGGGGTATGGGGAAAAGGGGAATAATGGAAAGAGAGATTGAAGGAAAGGATATAAGTGAAAAATTATAGTGGAAGAGAGGAGAGCGAAGGGGATAAGGGAAAAAATGAATAGGGAAGGGAAAAATAGAAGGAATGAGAGTAAGGAGAAAAAGAGGAAGGGAGGGAGAGAAGGGAGAGAGAACTGCTGAAAGGTAGATTGAGGGGAGCAAAGGAGGAAGAGAGCTGTTGGAAGAAGAGAAGGAGGAGAGGGGAAAGGAGGGTAAAGAGTGCAAATGAGAGAGAGTGGAGAAGGGGAAACGGGTGCCGATAAGGGCGGGGGGGGGGGAGTGGGTGTCATCGGCACGACGTAACAGTTGCCGTAGAGGAGATAATGTAATAAAAAGTTAACGACATTCCTAAGTTAATGGAGGACTTGTCCTTTTCGTACATGATTCATCTCTCTCTCTCTCTCTCTCTCTCTCTCTCTCTCTCTCTCTCTCTCTCTCTCTCTCTCTCTCTCTCTCTCTCTCTCTCTCTCTCTCTCTCTCTCTTTATCTATTTATCTATGTTTTTTAAATATATTTCCTGTATTTTTTTAAACATTTTTCTCCCACATAACCTCTTCCCATTCATCCTTACACCCTATACGCAGTTGTCAAGGAGGCAAGCGGGCAAAAATAAATAAATAAAAAAAAACATCAACAGGAAATGACATACGAAAAAGTATCGAAGAAGGGGAACCCGTCCGGAGAACTTGTTGTTGTGCTCGGCGTATTGCTTGGTGGGGAATGCGAGGGACCTGTGTGTGTGTGGTGGTTGTTGTGTTGTTGTTGTTGTTGTGTGTTGTGTTGATGTGTTGTTGTTGTGGTGTTGTGTTGATGTTGTATTGATGTGTTGTGTTGTTGTTGATGTTGTATTGATGTGTTGTGTTGTTGTTGATGTTGTGTTGATGTGTGGTGTTGTGTTGAGGTATTGTGTGTGTGTGTGTGTGTGTGTGTGTTGAGGTATTGTGTGTGTGTGTGTGTGTGTGTGTGTGTGTGTGTGTGTGTGTGTTGAGGTATTGTGTGTGTGTGTGTGTGTGTGTGTGTGTGTGTGTGTGTGTGTGTGTGTGTGTGTGTGTGTGTAGGTGTTTGTATGGTTGTGTGTGTGTGTTTGTTTCTGATTTTGATTCTGCTTCTGATCCTGGTTCTGTTTCTGTTTCCGCTTATGCTTGTGTCTCCGTATGTGTCCGAGTGTATGGATGTATTGTATGCAAGCCTACGTTTTTATATGTACCTTAGTGGATATGTGTTCGGCGGATTACCTATATGTGTACGTGCGAGAGAGAACGTTGGCATCTCGGCGTGTATGTATTTATGTAAGTAGGTACGTACTTGCGTATGTATATATGTATATGCGTATGTATATGTATATATGTGATGTATAAAGACATCTGTGTATCCCACGCACATATCTATATATACGTATATCAGCTAATACACACATACGAGTAATTCAGTGAGTGAGTGAGTGAGTGAGTGAGTGAGTGAGTGAGTGAGTGAGTGAGTGAGTGAGTGAGTGAGTGAGTGAGTGAATAAGTAACTGAGTAACCGGGTGAGTAAATGGCGAGTACACAGCCGCAATCCCCTCCTGTTGGGACACGAAATGCCACGTTTGTTTCGGTCCTCGTTGGTTACCCTGCTTTTGCCATTACCGGACAAGCGACATTTACATTGGCGTGCGACGTGGGCGGAGCGTGGGCGTGGGTGGGCGTGAGTGGGCGTTAGGGGTGTGGGCGGACAGGAGGGAGGTGCGAAGGATGAAGGATGAAGGATGTTGAAGCCAGTAGTGTACCGCATGATGAGGTCATGACGTCTCATTGCATGTGCGTCTCGTTGTCATGCAAATGCATGCGTGTGCTTTTGCAATGTGTAACTGTCATTCTTTCACTTCTCTTTGTCTTTATCAGATGCTTTGTTCTCTTTCGAAGCATCAACAGAAAACAGGAGAGAGAGAGAGAGAGAGAGAGAGAGAGAGAGAGAGAGAGAGAGAGAGAGAGAGAGAGAGAGAGAGAGAGAGAGAGAGAGAGAGAGAGAGAGAGAGAAAGGGGCGGGGGGAGAAAGCGAATAAAAAAAATATAAACCAAATGAAAAGAGAATAGGGAAATGGGAAATAGGGAAGAGGGGAAAAGAAGGCAAACACGGATAAAGAGGAGAAGAAAGAGACTCGAGGAAATAAGACATGTTTATCCACGTGAGCTTTATGCCGTCAGAAGAAGAGGGGAGGGGTGAGGGGGAGCGAGAGAAGGGGAGAGGAGGCGAGGAGGGGAGAGGAGGCGAGGAGGCGAGGAGGGGAGAGGAGGGGAGAGGAGGCGAAGCGAGGGGAGGGGAGGGGCGAGGGAGATTTGGTCGAGGGGAAATCGAGGGAGGGGGGGGGGGATGTATCTGGGTGACAGCTCGGGGGCAAGGGAAGGGTTTTGGGTATGGGGGGGAGGGGGCAACAGGGGAGGAGGGGTACGGTTAGAAGAGGTTGCCTGTGGATGACAACCCCGTCAGTATGCGTGTGGGTGAGAGCGAGAGAGGACGAGGGAAAGGGAGAGAGAAAGAAGAAGAAGAAAAAGTCGAGAAAGTGAACGTGAACGAATAGTGGTTGTACAGGAAGAAGAGGAGTAGGAGAAAGACAAAAGAGTAGAAAAGGCGGAAGTTGAAAAAAAATAAAAAGGTAGAAGAAAAAAAGGCAAGAGAAGAAAAGGAGAAGAAGAAGAAGAAAAAAAGGCAGGAGAAGAAAAGGCAGAAAAAGAAAAAGAAAAGGCAGAAGAAGAAAAGGCAGGAGAAGAAAAGGCAGAAAAAGAAAAAGAAAAGGCAGAAGAAGAAAAGGCAGAAGAAGAAAAGGGAGAAAAAGAAAAGAAATAAAAAGCGAAGAAAAAGAAGAAGAAGAAAAAAAAAAAAAAGGGGGAGCAGACCCCTTCCAAAGTACCCTTGATGCTGAGACCATGTTCATGACGGGGCTCGTCTCCATCACTCATCTCCTCTCCTCCAGCATCCCGAATCTCACCGGCTCCTCCCACCATGCAGGAGGAGAGGAGGGCAAAGCAGGTATAGTAGAGAGGGGGGGGAGGGGGAGGTGGGGGTGGAGGTGGGGTTGGGGGTGGAAGTGGAGGTGGGGGTGGAAGTGGAGGTGGGGGTGGAAGTGGAGGTGGGGGTGGGGGTGGAGGTGGGGGTGGAGGTGGAGGTGGGGGTGGAAGTTGAGGTGGGGGTGGAGGTGGGGCTGAGGGTGGGGGTGGAGGTGGGGGTGGAAGTGGGGGTGGAGGTGGGGGTGAGGGTGGGGGTGGAAGTGGAAGTGGAGGTGGGGGTGGAGATGGTGAAGGTAGAAGAGGAAGAAAAAAAAGATGAATATGAAAAGGGCTGTAGGTGTGGAAGCAAGTAGGAGGGAAGAAAGAAAGGTCAATGATGGAGGTGGAGGCGGAGATGGAGTAGGAGGGAGATGATGAAAAGTGCATTAGGATTGGAAGAGAGAGAAGGGAAAGAACAAGAAGAAGAAGAAGAGGAATAATAATAATAACAATAATAATATTATTATTATTATTATTATTATTATTATTATTATTATTATTATTATGAAGAAGAAGAAGAAGAAGAAGAAGAAGAAGAAGAAGAAGAAGAAGAAGAAGAAGAAGAAGAAGAAGAAGAAGAAGAAGAAGAAGAAGAAGAAAAGGCAAAGAAGATGAGGAAGAAATATGAGAATCCGTATGCCTTAAACACGTATATGCATGTTTCTTTTTTTGGCACCACCATTGAGTGCCGAGTGCCAGGGTGTTTGTTGAGAATGTAAATTTCCGTGTGTGTGTGGTGGTGGTGGGGGAGGGGGGGGTATGTGTATCTGTATGTCAATGTGTTCGTGTGTGCATATGTGTATGTTTATATGTTTATATACATGTATACATATTTGCAAATATAATATACAGTATATGATATATGATATTTGATATTATATGATATATGGTATATGATTTGTAATATATTATAATGTAATGTATGATATATATGATATGATATAATATAATATATATAAATATATTTATGTATTTATATATATGTGTGTATATTCATATTCATGTTGAATTATTGATTTAGTGAAAAGGAGTGTGTTTATGGCTTTGCGCAATATCTACGTAATTATGTCTGTATAGATTTGAACGGATTATACTTTAGTTTGTCTTCATCTCGTTTTATTTGTTTGTTTGCAAGATAAGTATGTTTGCACATATAAGACTGATGATTTTGTTTTAGTATATCTTTGTGATATTTTAGAAGAATTTGCATAGCCAATGTTTAAACTTGTATCACTTGGTATAGTCGACTTTCGGTTTTTGTTTAAAGATATACTTAAAAAAGAGAGTGTAGTAACAGGAACGCCCAAGTCTGCATCTCTTTGCAAGCACTTGCAATATGAGGAGCTTGACTGTTCACTTTCACGTTCAGTGCGTTTTCTTGCATGTGGCCACGTTCGTGATTTTTTTTTTTATGGCGGGGAAAAGAAGTCAAGCATACGTAGCCTGGTGTTTGGTCGCAAGCGTGAGTCTGGATCTCGTTCGTGTTTCTGCGCTTTTAAGGAAGGAAATGTTTTCATTGTTGATGTTACCGTTATTGATATTTTATATTATTTATTTATATATTTATTTATTTTTGAGAATTAGTATCTATCTACATCTTCTGTCTATCTCTTTTATATACACCCGTCTCTCTCTCTCTCTCTCTCTCTCTCTCTCTCTCTCTCTCTCTCTCTCTCTCTCTCTCTCTCTCTCTCTCTCTCTCTCTCTCTCTCTCTCCCTCCCTCCCTCCCTCCCTCCCTCTCCCTCTCCCTCTCCCTCTCCCTCTCTCTCTCTCTCTCTCTCTCTCTCTCTCTCTCTTGTATTTCTTTCAGTTTACCAATGTCTCTCTTTTTCTTTGGCTCTCATTCATCCTCATCTCTCTTCTATTCCTCCCCCCCCCCCTCTCCGTACCGCATATGTATTTCTGTTGCTGTGCACGTACTTCATACAATGACACACAGCACCTATTTGGTACTATCTGACGTCACCCGGTGTCACCTGATGTCACCGAGATGTCAGATCCTCACCTCGTAAACAGCTTATATGACTCATCCCCCCCCCCCCCCCGGCCTTATCCGACATCCCCGTCACTAGTCGCTACTCTGCCCTGTTCTTCGCAAATCGCACTGCACTGCACTGTGCCCTGACATGACACGGCGCTTGCAGTATGGCACTGGATGGCACAGACGAGGTTACGATTCGACAGAAACACATATGACACAAAGACATGACACGGCACGACATAGACACGATACAGAAACGACACAAACACGATAGAAACACGACACAGACACGATACAAAAATGACAAAGAAATGGCACAAACACGACAAAACTCGTCACCCGAACAATCCGACACCACAACAGCCACGACACGAAACGACACGACCCGATGCGGCACTGCAGGACGTGGCACTCCCCCTGTATCGCTCGTGACTCGGCTGGTGGTCGTGCTGGTGCCAACAGGAGGCGTCGGGGTTGGCACTCCGGCCCTCTCCCGCGCGCAGGCTGGGAGTGACAGGCGATGGGCGGTAGGATTTTTTTTTTTTTTTTTTTTTTTTGACTTTTTTTTGTGGTTTTAATTAGTGTTGGCATTGTTGGTTTTGTTGGCGTTGGAATTGTGACTATTGTTTTTATTATTATTATTACGTTTATTATTATATTGTTGAAAATGTGATTATGATATGTTATATATTATCATTATTATTATCATTATTGTTTTTATTATTATTGATCATCATCATCATCATCATCATCATCATCATCATCATCATCATCATCATCATCATCATCATCATCATCATCATCATCATCATCATCATCATCATCATCATCATCATCATCATCATCATCATCATCATCATCATCATCATCATCATCATCATCATCATCATCATCATCATCATCATCATACAAAAATAAAACATTATTTTCCTCTTCAGTTTGTTATTCAAACGCCGTCTTGATTTTCAAGATGTGTTTACCTAATTTTCTTTTCTTCATTTTGGCATTAATTAAGAGGATTTTTTTTCCTTTTTACTTGTTTTTAACTTGTCTTCATGTGAAAAAAAAACTCCTTTGGGATATTTTTTAGGTTTCCAAGTTTATGTTCGAATGGGTAGCACGAGTAAGAAATTTCGTCATATTTTCCCGCCAAATATTTTTATATCTTTTCGTGGAGATTCTAGCTTAGCTGTTTTTGCATACTAAATTAATTTAAAACTGGAAAGTTGTGAAGTATTTTGTTTCTTATTTTTTTTCTCGTGTTTCTTCAGGGTTTTTGAATTTTTGAATTTGCTATTTTCAAGATTTGGGTTTTTGCTTAGGAGTTGGTCCAAACTTTACAGAAGAATAAAGGCAGATAATTATTAGATAAGAAAAAAACGAGATAGGACGAAGGAAAGATAAGGTATTTTCCTAGTCTTCGAAAAGGGAAATATATATATTTTTTACTTTAATTGTCATTTTTTCCACTTCCATAACATCCTATTTTGTAATCTGGGTGTATTTGTTTTTCTTTTTGCGAATTTCTCCCTCTTTCACGTGTATTCAAACACACGGCTTCATATAATTTGCGGGAAAAGATGGTACACCTGACGGCACTTCCCCGTTTTTTGTTGCTTTAAGGAGAAACTCGACAAAAACTACGAAATCTAATAGTTTCAACTAAAATATCTTGGAAACAAACTTGAAGCGCACCTGAGGATACAAGTGGGTGGTGATTGTGGCGGAGGAGGTGATGAGGAATGTGGTGTTGGTAACTCGGGGTGGCGTGGTGATAGTGTAAGTGATGGTGATGAGGAAATGGTGATGTTGATGGTGAGTTGGTCAGTGCGGCGTCGTTAGACTTAAAGGCACGAACATTAAATATGTTATACATTGTTTTTTATTATTATTCTGCTCTTTTACTTTCCTCGTTTATTTTCTCTTCGGTTATGTTCTCACGCCCCGGAGTCACTTGATTCCGCGACTTTTCTTCTCCTCAGTATGTGCCACGCCGTGTATGCCGGCGAGGGAATTCTTAACGAGAGGCTGAATAATTAATGGGCCTCTTGGATCAGACCGGAGAGTGTTTTTCTCGGCCTGTGTTTGGCCCGTGGATTAATGTTTGCTGAGTTGCGTTTTCTTCGTCTGGAGTTACTTTTTTTTTTTTTTTTTTTTTTTTTTTTTTTTTTTTTTGCTTTCTGTCTTTCTCAACTCTCTCTGACTCTGTCTATCTCTCTGTCTCTCTGTCTCTGTCTTTCTGTCTATTTTTCTCTGTCTCTGTCTATCTCTGTCTCTGTCTTTGTCTCTGTCTCTCTGTCTGTCTGTCTTTCTGCTTTTCCGTTTCTCTCTCTCTCTGTATATATATGCATATATATACATATCTCCATCTCTCCCTGCATATATAGTTGTCTCATCCACACGCCCCATACATCATTGTCACCATCACCATTTACAAACTGGGATCGTCGGCATTTCGGAGGCGCCGACGCTGCGTGAATTCGTCTTGTATTAGTTACGCGTCACAGCCGACGTCACTTCTCTTAAACGTTACGCTTTCACCATCACGCGGCGGATGGTGACTGTGGCGGCGGAGGTGGTGACGAATGAGGTGTTAGTATCTCGGGGTGGCGTGGTGATAGTGTAAGTGATGGTGATGAGGTAATGTCGATGGTATGATGATTATGGTGGTAATTCGTGAGTTAGTCAATGCGGCGTTAGAGATAGTGACGAATATGGTGTAGGTAACTCGAGGTGTTGTGGTGATAGTGTAAGTGATGGTGATGAGGAGATAGCGATGGTATGATGATGATGGCGACTTGTAGATCGTTAGCTGCGGCCGCGACGACGGTAATGGGGGTAAACGAGCGGTAGATGGTAACGCTTGTGATTTTGGTAACTCGGTTTGGTGTTGCGGTAACGGCGTATGGTGTTTGATGTCGAAATTTATGTTGACAAACTTATATACGAGTGATAAGTCAGATACGGTGAAGAATGGTACGTAGCGGTGATAGTGATAAGG